GAGAGAGAGAGAGAGAGAGAGAGAGAGAGAGAGAAACACACAGAGAGAGGCAGAAAGAGAGAGAGACAGAAAGAGAGAGAGACACACACAGAGAGATATGTTGGGTGAGGGGCTTTTAAATTTTGTTTTGGAATTTATTCTGTCATACTGATTTTTTTGTTAGTTTTGACTCTCATTTTTTTCTTTCTTAAAAATGGGCATGAGAGAGAGAACATGAGGTTAGGCTGGTAGGGAGAGGAGAAAGATCTGGGAAGAGTTGAGACGGGTGAAACACCATCAAAATACACTGTATGAAAAAGGTAAGTAAAAAGAAACACCTTCATGCCCCAGATTAGGATACAAACTTATCTGCAAATGTCACCATTATTCTGTATTTCAAAGTGAAAAATTCTTTGTAAGATACACAGCATGAGAAAGGAACAAGTATAAAACTTTTAATAGCAACTTAGCAAGAAAATATTCCTAGACTATCCCTCTTCTGCAATTTTTTTATGCCTTTGCAATTTCCTCCCTTGAACTAACTTTTAATTTTTTTTGTTTTCTTACCATTAGGAAATATCTTTAATTTTAATATTATGTTGAAATGTTTTGCTGAGAGGAAATATGTTTCAGGTTTTCAAGATGATTATTGAAGTTTTAAGTTCTTCTAAAATGGGAACAGACTTAGCAAATTGTCCCACCTGTAACATCCCATGTGATACCAGCCTGGTCTTGGTCACCAAGATTGCAAGGACCTGTCATTAGAGTTAGTGTGGCATTTCCAGAGTCAATCACAGGATAGGTCTTCAGTAGAAGTTGTTTCTAGGCTCTCCATATTGTCAGGTTTGTCTTCTATCTTCGCTCACTATTCTGGGTTCATCTCCTTTATAAACAGGACACACATCTCCCTGGAAATACAATTGGAAACTTTCTCAGTTACACAAATGGAAAAGTTTCAAGGCTTTGTTATACCCACTGTCTTTTTCTTTCCTAGCTTCCCTACTCAGTCTGCACACATGTGTGTCCTCCAGGGACCCGGAAGGGGATTCGCCAGGGGGAGCCCATATGCTGCTTTGATTGCATCCCGTGTGCTGATGGATATGTGTCAGAGAAACCAGGTAGAGGCGGTCACTATTTTGTTAGTAGTAAAACGACTAGATTAAACATTTACTGTCAAAGAGGTCCTTAGAAACACTTTTTATAAAAGATGTAAGCAAAATATGGCAAAAATGATTAATGTATATGGCAAAAATGATTAATGTCTATCAAATTATTGAATGTTCTGTACAGTGTGGATAAAAGATGATAATGTTTTTCACTTCTGAAACTACTATAGCTGGGAAAGACCTATCACCCCGAAGTTCATAAGAAACACCAAACAAAATACAGAAAATGTGAAATGTGAATAAATTCATAAAAATCTTAACTATAGTTTTTGAAATAGTTTCAAGACTAACCATAGTTGGAGAAGAGTCACCCGCTTGTTTTCAGGTTCTCAGCACTGAGAGCACATGCATTGCACAGCTGCTGCTGCATGAACTCCTGCAACAGCTGGTTCAGTTGCTGCTCTCTGGAGGTGACTTGGGCAGCTCAGTTTTCTGAAGTGTGTAGTAACAGGTTTATTTAGATTTCTACTTCTTGTTGTTATTGAAGGAACAAAAATGCCTTGCCACATGTTCCTTAAGAGTAACTATGTAAAAGGATAAAATGGTCTGCAGTGAAAACAAGCACCCTGTAACCTGTACAACTCCCTAGCTACAGGTCCCAGTCTCCACCTAGAATTCCATTCAGTGATGTAAAGACCGGGAGTCAGAGTGACTGAAAGGAAACACCTGCCTTTCTCTTTTCTTTTCTTTCCTTTTCTTTCTTTTTTTTTTGAGACACAGTTTCTCTGTATTGCTTTGGAGCCTGTCCTGGAATTCATTCTGTAGACCAGGCTGGCCTTAAACTCACAGAGATCTGCCTGCCTCTGCCTCCCAAGTGCTGGGATTAAAGATGTACATCATCACTGACCAGCTGGAAACACCAGTTTTTCTCTAGAACTTTACATTAGCAATAGGTAGATCCATTCCTCTTCTGCCATAACTTCACCTCAAGTAGCTTTTTCTTGTTCAACAACACTTTCTTTTAGAGCCTCCATTCCTCCATCCATCCATCCATCCATTCAGACTTAGCTTTCTTACCTCAGGGACTAGAGTTGGTGGTTTTGTATTTCTTCCTAACCTCATCCTCACCACTCATTCAAATGAGCATCTGGAGTTGAGGACATTTGAATGGGCACATAGATGATTCTCCTCCACAAAGGGATATTGAATGAGAGACTGAAAACACAAGATGCTTAACCAATTGTGTCCAGTCCACTTGATTGCCTCGCCTCAGTAGCTGTGACTTTCTCACTGATGGGTAGTTCAAGGGTTAATAATGACACAAGCCTCTCTCCGCAATATATAGTTAGAGGAGAAAGAAAGGAACACATCACTGAAAAGGCAACTCAAGAAAGCTGGGATTGGGAAGAAATGCTCAGTTCCTAAAAGTGAAAACAACTCTCAATCTGTTACAGAATCTGGAGGCACAAAGGCTATCTTCCCACTACTGATTTTAAGATCTCTCTCTCTCTCTCTCTCTCTCTCTCTCTCTCTCTCTCTCTCTCTCTCTCTCTCTCTCATACACACA